CAATATTTATCGATCACATAATTGGTCGGTCCATCACGTGACTGCCCCCTCGATTGTTGGTTATGCTGGTGCTTTTAATTTCTACCATATCTGCAAGATTCACCAAATTTAGTAGATTCGCTAAATTCGATCAGAGTCACAATTATTGGGACCTTTGCAATGGTAATATTTTAATACCCTCGATAAAGAGTATAATTGACAAAACATCTAAAGAGATTAGTTAACATAAAATAAGCTGGAGAGTATTTTACAGGAATATGATATGGCTAGAAAATGTAAAAATATACAGCAATAAATTAAATGGAAACTCAAAGTTTGTTTTTAGCAAATATATGTATTTTTTTTATTTTAAGCTTAGGACCTTATAATTCATTAAGTCTTCCAGATAGCTTTTTTTAATACATATGAATTCAAAAATCAAAACATTTAAGAACCTAATAACATTCTACAGACAAAGAATGAATTCCCAAATTTAATACATGATTCCATTATCAATGTCAATCAACATCAATGTCAACCAATTTAGTTGTCGGATCCATGGTCTTTTCCCTTCTAACATTGCAGTGACCGTTGGAGTCCATGAAGGGCGATTGGATTGATTCTGAAATTTTGTTCCGAACATCTTTGAATGGATTTTCTATAAATTTTCTATATTCGTCGATACCGTTCGTGAGATTTCGACTCATAAACTTATCGTCATAAGATCTTGCACATGTTAGGCTACAATAAGGATGTCGGACGCTAATTTTAAGATAATAGAATAACGATAAAATATTATTTAGGCATTAACATTAAAAACCAATTAACAAAATTTATATCTAAAAAATTTAATGGTTTCTCAATCGTAAAAACAATCGAGCGACCTTATATTACAAAAGTGGACAGTTGGTGTGTACCCGTTTTCTCCAACATATATAGGGCGAGTGCAACCGGGTACTAGACAGTTAACTTGACCAGGTTTTGCTTGTAAAATTATATTTTATTACTTTTACGTATATTATAATAAAATTTAAAAAAATAAATTATCTTTCAATAACTTACCGCGACACATTGTTAAGAAATATTCAAATTTCACGAAAGAACAGCTTTAGAGTTTCTTCGATATTATATCGTGCGTATGTAAAGAAAGATTGAATGAAATCAAAAATTTGTGGTATCCTTATAGATTATTTATTTAATTTATTAAGAATAACTTTATAAAAAACTCATTAGAAGAGTTAAATTTATGAATATTTTTAGTGCTCATCAAAATGAAATGGATCCGATGAATCGTTTAAGGTCCCGACATAGGATAAATGGTAATATCCGCCAATTATTTGTTACCGGAATTTCAAATAATTCTAATTCGAATCCATTTTGCGGAATGCTAATATTTTTTGTGACGTATATTTAGATATATACTTTAATTTATTAAACAACTCCAAAAATCGACGTACATCATCGAACCTTCCTAGCATAACCACCAAAATTATTTACGTAATCACTGATTAAAATTCAGTATCGTAGTTCATAATTATGAATCATAAACTAAATTGAACATAAGACACAGTATAATACAGTAAGAATATTTTCTGAATGTGATTTATTATAAAGCTTTCAATTTATTTGTCTTAAGAATCTGGGGATGTATGATTTCATTTATTCGTTGTTCTTGCTTTCTTGCTTGTGAACATGCTACTAATGCTTGGTTTTTTTTTTCTAGATTATTATGGTATTACTGAGCTTTCTTGGAATTGTAGAATGTACGTCTTGAGAATCTGGGATATATAATTTCATTCATTCGTTGTTTTTGTCTTCTTGCTTGTGAACATGTTATTAACACTCGTTTTTTTTTTGTTTTTAGGTTAATTTGAGCTTTCTAAAATATTTTGATAATCCGGTGATGAATCCGTTTATTCGTTGTTTTTACTTTCTGGTTAACTTGATTTTTACTAGCTTTCTGGAATATATATCTTGAAAATTTGGTAAAAGTGTACTATGTTAAAACAGGACCAGGAAATCTCTATTTTAGGTCTCGCCACAACAATATTCGAACGCTATAAATTTGGAAAATGTGGTTGGCTTATTATAGATTCGAAATATAAATATTTTTTTTTATGGTGGGAACCTATAAGAAAAATTTCCCGGTCCTGTTTAAAACTTAATATTTTAAAATATAGTAAATTGTATCTTGTGTATGTGCTATTATAGTATATAATTTAATTTATATTAACTTTCAAATAAAATAAATGTTGTTGATATATATTTTAAAGCCCAATGTCTACTAGTAATTGTTAAATAAATAGTTATTTAAGGAGTTTGCTTGTTATATAGTTCGATCTCTCTAAATGCTTTGCGACAAGACCATATGCAAAAATCAAGTCAAACATGTATTTAGAGAGGTACTGCATTTAGGAAGGTAAAATCTAGAAGTGCTATATTAGTTGGCTCAAGAGAAGGTGTGTATTTAATGAGGCTTTTCATAGTACGTACATTTAGGGAGATTGCATTTAGAGGGATATGCTTTATTAACATTATTTGTATAAATTTGTTTAATATTTATTTGTAATATATTTAATATTTAGTTTAATATATTTAAAATTTATTTAAAATCTATTAGTAATATATTTAATA